GTGTTTGCCGTCGAGGAAGTGGGTGTCTAGGTGTTTGTTTGTTTGTAAGAAACGTCATCGTCATCGTCATCGTCGTCGTCGTCGTCGTCGTCGTCGTCATTGTTGCCAGCTACGAAGTAAGGAATTACATTCTGAAATTTTTCGCGCAAGAGATAAATGTGGTCGCGATGGGTATCTATAAATCTATAATATCGATCGCTGCGATCTATACGATCATTAAAGTCGGATTAAGAGTCTCAGCAATAACAAAGGATTGAGATTAAGAAATCTGTCATATCGATGGCATAGACGAACACGTAAGTGAGGTTAGAATAAATAAATATTTTCTGCTTTATTACACAAATTCTCTGCTATAAAACACATTCCGCTATAAGAATACAAATTATTTTCTATATAATTATTTTGTAGCATTTGGTTAGGTTACTTATTTACCGAGACACTACCGTATCTCCAGATCTGGTAGTTTATTTCAATCAATCAGATAAGATTTACAATATTAATTCTCTATTCTTTATATAATTATAAAAGAGTTGATTCTTTGTGCTTTGTTGATAGGAAAAGTCTGAAAAGAAAAAAAATATAGATTTAAAAGAACCTTGCCTTTTCTTTTCAGGACTTTCTCTTCAATAAATCTGAAAATAAAATACAACACAAAGAATCAATTCTTTTATAATAATAAAGATAAAACTTATTTGATACAGTTACTCAAAATACAAAATTACTTGGTTTTAGTATTGAAATCTTTAAAACTGTAAATAATTATCTAATAATGAAATATATTATCATGGAAAGTAACTGATATATTATTGATTTAACAACACATGCACACTAGTTGTTTATAATACTAATGTTAAATCATTATTACGTATACATGCAACAAAAGAGTATACACTTTATGTATGTTTATTTTGAACTGGCACCTTCAATAATATATGAGTTATTTTCCATGGTAATATGTATAAATTACGTTAAAATAGACAATTTGGGATAAGAATTTATTTAAAATTAATTCTGATCTTTTTTTTGTGATACCATTACCAAGAAAGAGAAATCATAATAAAGTTCTTAATACACTGAACATTAGAAAGAAACATACAATAACAAACTTGAAGTCATATCACAGGTATATAAGTATAACACACTACGTATAATTAACTTTACAATAAAGTACGTACATAAAAATGAACAGTTATTCTTCTTTTACATCATTTATGCTTCTTTCTAATGTTAGTATTAAGAAATTATTATAATTTCTAACATATAAAAGAGTCCTTCAAATCTTCAATTCATTTGTTTTTAATCCGCAGGCTGTAACAATGCGGATAATACATTGTAAGTCTTTTCATTAAGTTAAATTAACAGTTTCTAGATTTAGCATTTATAGTTGCGTTTCAAGACCGAAATCCTTTCGGCGCGCAAAAATTAGGGAAAGGGGACATTTATAAATCAGATTATTAGAGTTGCGTTGCAAGTTCGACAATTGTTCGGCGCGCAATTTGGGGGGACTATATATATTAATAGAACGTTATTTCCTACTTTGGAGAAATATTGCGAAGAATATCACTACGTCGACTTGCCATCAGAGGTCTATCGATATTCGCAAATTCTCGCAAGTGCTAAGACACGCGTATATCTCTTTATATAGAATCTCGATTTAATAACTTACCAAGGCGGATAAGGTAGGCTTCCACTACAATGCCTTACTGATGAGTTCAGTAGTGGAAGCCGGGACGAAACGCCAAACATTACGTGATATTCTTCGCAATATATAATATTAGAATAAATTATCAGATTTAGATTTTAAATTGTAATTAGACTCTTATTCGCCCTATTTAACATGTTAATTATTATTATATAAAAGAGTCCTTCAAATCTTCAATTCATTTGTATTATGATTTCTCTTTCTTGGTAATGGTATTCGAACAGTATTTTTCCAGTATGTCTACATTGATGCTCTCTAAAATATTTTAACATAATACATTTCATTATTAAAAGATAATACAATGAAAGTGAATATGTATTTATTCCAATGTCAAAATATTACATACGTATAATCAAATATGCTAATAAACGTAATAAATTTTTTTGGTATAACGTTATTACGAAATTGATTATCAGGATAATCTTTTCCCACGATATTAATTATTAATTAAAATAATAATTTATAAACGTATGTGCTTATGAAGATATACGTGATTGAAAACTGGTTAACTTACACTCTAAAATCTTGAACTAGATGAGAGATTAAACTATAACAGTTTTTTATATTTAAAAAATAAATCACAAAAGATCAGTATTAATTTTAAAAGAATTCTTATGCCAAATTGTCTATTTTAACGTAATACATTTTATTATTGAAAGATAATGAAAAATGACTCATATATTGTTGAAGGTGCCAGTTCATCAAAGTAAACATACACCAACAGTTCCCAACTTTACGTCTGACTTGAATACCTCATTATGTGTGCCAAGGTTTTTTACCATTTCATTATCTTCCAATAATAAAGACTACTTGAATACCTCATTATGTATGCCAAGGTTTTTTACCATTTCATTATCTTCCAATAATAAAATATATTACGTTAAAGTAGACAATGTGGTAAGACAATTTAATAAGAATTATTTTAAAATTAATACTGATCATTTCTTTTGAAATTAATATTGATCTTTTGTGATTCATTTTTAAAATATAAAAAACTGTTATTTTGTTTTCTCACCTAGAACACTATATTTGATTCAAGATTTTGGAGTACATAAGAATTATTTTGAAATTAATACTGATCTTTTGTGATTCATTTTTGAAATATAAAATTTTTTATTTTTTTCTCTCTCTCTCTCTCTCTCTCTCTCTCTCTCTCTCTCTCTCTCTCTCTCTCACCTAGAACACTATTGGTTATACGACTAATGCGAGCATAAAATGTTGAAATTTAGTAATTTTAAGTAAACTATATAATCAATGCTTTTATTCTAATTTAATCTATTGCATATAATACATTGATATGGTAACAAAAAGCTTTGTTATTATCCAATAAGCTTAAGTTCCTTCCGTCACTGACAACCAATTATATTAAAGATTGTCCTTTGAAAACTGTCGCTGACTTTTATATGTTTTCTGTACACAGTCATTATTGTGACATACATTGATATACTAACATATATTTTGGTTCTTCTTCTTTTTAATTTGGAAAGATTATTTCAACCGTTTTGACAAAATGTAAGTTATAACTGCTTAACAATAGTAAATTAATTAAACAAGTGACTATACTGAATACTTAATTGTATATATAGATTGTTTTTGACTTAATTGAATTTCTCGCATATTAAAACGATCAAATTCCATTGGATTACAATAAGACGAACTAGATTGATGTGGTTAATATCTGAATTGGAAAGAAGAATAAACTTCAAGAGAAGGTTGTTAATTTAAAGATCTTATATTAAAATTTTATACTGAATTGTTTGTTTGAATGCAAATGACGATTGAAAATTATTATTTCTACACTGAAGAAGGCTCTGTGTAGCTGAAACACGTTTATGACCTTATCAATGTATTATATGCAATTTTATATTAAATTAGAACAAAAGCATTTTGATTATATAGTTTACTTAAAATTACTAAATTTCAACATTTTATGCTCGTATTGGTCGTATAATTAATGTTTTTGAGATTTTTGCTATTTATAATAATATAAAAGTTGGTAAAGGACTCTTGATATAAACATAAACGAAAGATAAAAGGGATATTGTAAGAGTCAGTAAAATAAATTTTAAAAAGTTAAATAACACGTAACAGTCATATATAATAAAAACTTCATCTTACAAAATCCTTACATATACATCTCTAAATAATACAAAATTCTAAACTTAAGAAACTACTTAACGTTTCGGCTCCTGTATTGAGCCCTCTTTGGAAGCAACATCATAACTCTTGAAGGTACTAATTATTAGATTAATCTAGATTCTCCATCTCCGTACATTGTTCACATAGCGACTGACAGATCGAAAGTAAAGGAAGCTATTTAAAATATAATAAATTAACACACAATTAGTCAAGTTAAATCTGCATATGATACATTTCGTTAAAATAAGTTATAATTATATAATTTTGCTATTTATTTTATAATAACATTTTCATATATTTTTATTAGAACAAAAATTTAAAAAGTGCTACTAAATACTACTTTATTAAAATATCTTATGATCTAGTTCTAGTAAACTGTAACTTTTCAAAAAATTTGATGTATTACTTTTAAATGCAATTTAGAATAATCTGTAATTTTATATAATAAATAATGTTATCATTTTAAAATATTCAATATAATATGATTGTGCTAAATACGCGGACTACTAAAAATAAGTTTAATATTAAAAAGATTAAAAAACGCTTCGAATTTATGGAAATAACTCTGGCGAGCATTAATTTTACGCAAATTTAATTTTAAAAATCGAATTTTATTTTTCACAATCAATAGATTGCTCTATGAACGTATATTTTTATTTTATATAAAAATATATATTGCGTGAATATAAAAAAATAGGAACAGTTAGACTATTTTCCGCTATAAAATCGTATAGTATCTAAAAATAGAAAAAAAGGTTGCTAGGAATATTGATGCAACGTTAAAAACTTTAAAATGTCAATCTAATTTAGAGCAATTTGATTTATCTAGTAATTGTTCATATTGAAAAGATATTTTTAAAGTAAGAATAATTCTGTTAATTTTAAATCTCTCGAATCTGAAATTGATTTGCAACTTTCGTATTGTACGTTCAGTTTTATATGTAAAAATGGTTTATCTGTTTTTATATATAAGATATACTATACAATAATAGCAATAATAACTAATTGTTCTTGAAAATGCATGTAATGAATAATTCTTAGGAAGAATATCAACAATCATATCTTGATATCATCGTTTGTCTTATCGGGATTCACCGTTAATTCGAGCTTATTCTCGCGAGCAACAATGTCAGTAACCAAGTTGTCTACGACCGCAGTCATGCTGATTATATTCTGTCTGGCGTTGATAGCTTCCGCCTCGTGCTTCGAGTTTACAATAATCGATGGTACACCTACAACCATCACTAAGCATCCATATCAGGTCAGTTTACGGTTGAAATGTCTTCTCACAATTGTCATATGATTGAGTACCCGAGTAATTGCGTGAAATTATTATAATTGAAAGTATCCTTACACAAAAATTTTCTTTAAAATATTATTTCCAATAGGTCTCCATTCATTATAAGGATGAACTTACATGCGCAGGTTCCATAATTAGCGAGCGATGGATTTTAACAGCGGCACATTGCGTTTATGGGTATGCGTGAATTTCTCATTCTTGATTCCTCCACTGTCTCTTAAAATTAGTTAAGATAAGATAATGATATAATTTATGTAAGTCTTGAAAATTATTAGTGCTTGATTAAATGTATTATTTTAGCGAGAAAACGCTGTCGGTCTTCAAAGTGCGCGTTGGAAGTACTTATCATGACAAAGGAGGTATTCTAATCAAAGATATTGCGTCGATCATTTGTCATAAAAAGTATCATCCGCTAACTTACGATTACGACGTGGCTTTAATTAAAGTACGTAGCTATAATTATGCTTTATTTCGTACATTTCCCCTATTAGATAGATTAAGTAAAAATGGTGTTTTCAGTTGTCTACACCTTTAACATTTGGAGAAAATATAAAACCTATTCTTCTTGCGCTTCCATCGATGAACATTAAAACTGGTACCCAGACAGTCGTTACAGGCTGGGGAAAAACATCGGTAAGTCCTTTTCTAGTCATCCATTCTCTCTTGAGTCTTGCGTCTACACTTGTATCAGTGTCAAGATTTATTGCCACTAAGATGCTTAGTCGACGGTGATGTTCAACGAGATGTTTAGCTGTGTGTAAACGTTAAGATTCGTTTGTCGAGCGCTTAACGTAGTTTCGCTTGATCGCCGCGACAAATGTTGACGGGATCTTCGGTGGACAGACGTGGATGTTCGTAAACGTTTGGCAGCCTACAGTATATAGGCGTGTTGCAAATTTCAGGCAAATGGTGCTAGTTCAGAAGTACTACGAACTACCACAATATCGATCACTGATCAAGAGACGTGTCGGAAGGTCTATGATAGATATCATCGGCTAGTGACTTCCAACATGATCTGCGCTGGCGATGTCAATGGTGAAAAAGTCACCTGTCAGGTACGTTTTCAATGCCTATTTTTAATGTTGGCAATTCCATGACGGATATTCGTAATCCTCTGATTACACAATCTTTTCGCATTTTTTTATTATGTGTCGTGAAACGAAATATATACAAATCTTTTTGCGCTTTTTTTGAAAAAGGAAGTAAGATTGCTCTATATGTATATTGTACATATAAATCAGTGATGCGCAGCCTTTATTATGAATCATTTTCAGAGGTTCATTTTTAGAAATAGGTAAAATATTTTGGACATTAGAATGTTTATTTTATATGCATAAAATAGAAAATTGTATACAAACGATTTTATATTTTCCCTTATGAGCTGGAGGGCCATAAAAAGTTCACAGGTGGGCTATATTCGGTCCGAGGACCACATGTTGTGCACATTACTGTCATCAACGATATATTTTATTATTTATTATATATTATATTATATTGTTGTATTAGAATACAAAAATTTACATATATAATTTCTGTTTATAACTTTATAATCTATTTTTTAATAACATTAGAAATTAGAATTTAATATTTCAGAAAAATACAACTAATGTCTTCGGAATACATCAAAATAATCTCATTCCATTTTTGATCCACGCGACTTTTTAGAAATTGATTTCTGTCGGAAGTGAAAAAAAAAGTTTATTTGTTCATGACGCAGGGAGATTCCGGAGGTGCGCTCGTTGGCTACAACGGGCTCCAAATTGGGATCGTGTCCTGGGGCGGTCAGAAGTGTGCGAGTGTTGGATTTCCAGGAGTGTATACGCGAGTACCCGCCATACGGCAGTGGGTAACCGAGCAGGCGAACGTGTAGTAGAATTAATTTTTCCCCTCTCTCGGAATGTTTTTCAAGATAGGAAAGAGATGCAGCGTATCGTTGAAAAAATATTTACTTCTGTTTAACCATATCAAAACTAGACAGCACTACGAAAAAATACTATCTTACAAATTGTACAATAAAGAGTCAGCTAAATGAAGAAAAAAGGAATTTTTTAATAACAATTATAAAACGGAAATTGAAAGTGAAATTTCAATAAATCTTAATTGTTTTATATTTTTCCTTTCCATGAATATACGTAGATATTATTTTCGTATGTTTACTCGCATCAAACTTAAACTTGTGTAAGCTATATAGAGTTTTTAATCTCTACACTGAAAGAACGGTTTTTCTGAAGTGTCTAAACATTTATCTAAATACAAATTTGAAAATAAATTTGTTACATTATCAAAAATTTATGTAGAAAGCTTAAACATTGATTACAATACAGTAAAATATTTTAACATTTTACCAACTAGTTTGAACGTTTCTACATAATTATTTTGATAATTCAAACAAAATTATTTTTAGGTCAGTATTTAGTTAAATACTAATATCTAAGATATTTTAATAACATTTTTTTCCATATTTATCTAAATCTATATATTTTAAGCTCAATTAGTATATTTTTTAATAATCTATTACAAGCGGATTTATATTTTGTGAATATATTATATGTATATTGTATATTTCTCAAACCATGGACGAATCCATTGCTTAAACAAATTCATTAGCATAATTGTAAGGACTACGAAGAAAATTAAAATTGTACATTGTTAAGATTTTTGTATGCGAATTACTTTTTAATTGACATCATTTTTGTATGCGAATTGACTTTTGAATTGACATTGATAGAACCAATGAACTACAGATATTTTTATAATAATTGACAAACATGCGAGAAATTATTCCTCAGTACACATTATCATTTAGAATATATTAGAAAAAAAATTTTTGTGTTATATACTGAAGATGGTCACTTTAAGGACCTAAACTTTATAATTATGTTTATAATTATGTAATTTAGTATTATTAAATACACTATATTTTTGCTACTTTGAACCAGCGTGTGGTATATGTGTGTGCTCCTTTTTCTTACTTTTATTACATGTATATTGTATATTTTTTTAAGGTGCAACAGTTACAATGTTTTCATTACGTTATGAATTTTATTTTATCGAAGCATATATATAAAGAGAAAAAATTCATTGTTAAGATATATCTTATGTTTCAATGAATGAATTATTATAAATAACTTGTTATCGTTAAACAAATGAATACCGATGAGAACATGCTGTAACTAGATCTCGAGTGCTTTTATATAATTGCGTGTGAATTTATATACTATACTTGTAGATATTTTAATTGCGCGCCGAATTTTTTTTGGACTTGAAACGCAACGCTACTAAACTACCGCAGTAATATTATAAATTAAATTGATTAACAATTTAACAATTTTTGATACTCTTTGCGCATTTTTAGATCGATTCTAATAACATTGAACGACATATGAAAATCTGTAAATCATTAATTTTTCATTGCGAAAAATATTACCTCGGAAAAATATTACTAGCGCCCTAAGCCTTTAGACTACCGAGGCCTTAGTAACATTCTTCGCAAAAGTTTTGAGGCCTATTACTAAAAACGGTAAAACCTCGGTAGTCTATAGGCTTAGGATGCTCGCACGGAATACCGGGTTCGTCTCCCGGCCGAGATAATATTTTTCGCAATGAAAAATTAATGATTTACATATTTTAATATGTCATTCAACATTATTAGGATCAATCTGAAAATGCGCCAAGAGCATTCAAAAATTGTTAATCAATTTAACTCGTAATATTACTGCAGTAGTTCAGTAATGTCACGTTTCAAGTCTGAAAAGAAATTTGGCACAAAATAAAAAATCTACAAACATAGCATATATTAATTCATACGCAATTATATAGAAGTATCCGAGATCTAGCTTGATCATTACGGTATGTTCTCATCGGTATTTATTTGTTTAAATTCTCACGGTCCAATGAGATTTGATATTGTTTGTTATTGTTAAATACTGTTTATTAAAAATTATTTTATTGAATCTAATTTTGCTATGATATTTTATATATAAATTATTTTGCTGCAATTTTGTATGTGATGTATTTATTGATACTTTATTTTATGTTAATAACAAATCGAATTTGCCTTAGTAACAAATTTTATAAGTATTTCGATGAACAAATTTATCCAGTAGAATTTTTCAGTAAAACCAAGTTATGTTGTAACATTAAATAATTGTTTATCGCAACAAAGTTTGATTGCTTTCACTATTTTAATGTGCATATAACAACGATGGAGTGGCTGTGGCAACGAAGTCCTTTTTGTTACCTACATCGACAGCAGATATTAGGGTATCTTAACGGACCACAGCTTTCAGGGAAACAAATAAACACGAAATGTACAAACACTGACCTTGCCCGAATCTTACCTGAAGTTTAAAGTACTATTGAAAACCAGGATCGATCAACAACAATTTGGATTGCGATTAATCGAGATTTATGTAGACTTGGCATAGTTGTTTACAATTGCGTGGGTCTTATCATCAGGCATTTTCGAGGATTGTGTCGTCTCTGCACTAAAGCAGGTATAATCAGTTCTAAGGTGGTGACATGTAATTTTGTGCAATGCAATAAATATTATCTTGCTGCCCTTTACACTCGCCTCGACGTAATCGTTCGTCACGCAGGATTATTAATTTCACCGTCGACTCGGAACGGTGCTGTAGGTTTCGCCGCCACCACCGCCGCAGTGGCATTGAATAAACGGTTTTGCAGCTCCAGCACAGGTGGCTGACTCGTAAAGGGTAGCACAAACAGTCGATGCCCACGTCCGTTTTACCTACGTACGTACCGGGTGTCGCCGTAAAGAGCGACATTGCTGTTGTACGTGACATCGGATGATCGTCGCTTCTCGTCCCATAAAGAGCGTCATGCCGAAATCGGTGCAGCATGTTCGCGCTATCCGGGTCTGGCCGTTAAGAATCGTGGCAGACGTGGCATACTAATGCGGCACGATATTATAACCGGCATAAACGATCGATATTCTCGAGCGGATATCAAATCCTGTTGTCTGGCTCCGGCGGTACACGTCTCGTTCTGCCTATATGTTGTTTCGAGCGCGCGAATATATCCGAAATTTCTGATAACGATGAATTATACGTGCCGCGAAACGTGTCTAACCCTGGAACGCCATATCCAAGTCTGCGAAGTTTACTGGCTTGAATAAACTCGCGAGAATCACGATGGTTCCTTCGTCGTGGCGAAGTGTGCATTTATATTGCTTCTTGAGTTTCTAGTTCGAAAAGAATTGACTTTTCAAAAAGAATACTGTTCTTCGGCTTGAGCGACTCTCACAATGATTATGTTTAATTACTTGCTTGGTGAAGCCGTTTAATTATTTTCCGACCGACTCTCTTTCCGGATCATCTCGGATGAACGTATTATACAATAAAGCCTGGTACGCTTCAGTTTCAACGTTCGTCTTCGGTATTTTGTTCTGGAACGATTGGTCCTAACGGACGATTGTGATGACAAACAAGTGGAATCTAGGTCGAATTCTCGGAAGCTGGATGATCGGAAATTTCTCTCGCGCTTGGAAAAATTAATAGTGGTATCAATTAATCCGGATGTCAGAATAAAGAAGCGCAGATCCAACAAAAAGTTCAGCGACGGATATTTTCACGGTACTAGTGCGGCTCATGCTTTTATTTTCGTTCATCCATAACGATCGGATCACATCTACTGCAGGAAAATATGTAATAATACGTGAATATTTAAATTTTAAAATATATTAAAGTAAAAATTTGAAAAGAAAAATTCGTGTGTAAATTAATGCTGTCACTCTAGACAATTAAGATTAATATTAACTAAAATTAATGTAAATAAAATTATTAAAAAATTTTAAAAGAAATGGATAAAGTTCCGAAAATGTCGAGCGTCCGATTTTCATGAATTTTGGCAGAAACCCTCTAAATGACGTCAAATGAATATCTTTAAATGGATTTTCACCGACAAAGAATGCCAAAAATGTTTGAATAAAGTTGTGTACTTTATTCAAGCATATTTAATAATAATTAACACGTTAAGTAGGGCGAATAAGAGTCAAATTACAATTTGAAATCTAAATCTGATAATTTATTTTAATATTATATATTGCGAAGAATATCACGTAATTTTTGGCGTTTCGTCCCGGCTTCCCTATTCGCCCTATTTAACGTGTTAATTATTATTAAATAAAAGAGTCCTTCAAATCTTCAATTCATTTGTTTTCAAACCGCAGGCTGTAATAATGCGGATAATACATTGTATGATATTTCAGATGATTAGAGTTGCGTTGCAAGACCGAAATCCTTTCGGCGCGCAAAAATTAGGGAGAGGGGACATTTATAAATCAGATTATTAGAGTTGCGTTGCAAGTCCGACAATTGTTCGGCGCGCAATTTGGGGGGACTATATATATTAATAGAACGTTATTTCTTACTTTGGAGAAATATTGCGAAGAATATTACTACGTCGACTCGCCATCAGAGGTCTATCGATATTCGCAAATTCTCGCAAGTGCTAAGACACGCGTATATCTCTTTATATAGAATCTCGATTTAATAACTTACTAAGGCGTATAAGGTAGGCTTCCACTACAATGCCTTACTGATGAGTCCAGTAGTGGAAGCCGGGACGAAACGCCAAAAATTACGTGATATTCTTCGCAATATATAATATTAGTAAACTAATTTTTGTATCGACCGTAAATTGTCAACAACAAGGAAAGTTTACACGCCAATAACGGTCTAAGCTGGATCGAGATAAGAATGTGTGAATTTTTATATACTACATATGTATGTAGTATATAACCCCCCTTTTAAATGCGCGCTGATACATCAGACATATAACGCATAAATACTACAGTAGTATTATAATATCACCGAATAATATTTGATTAATTCAAATTGAATCTAAAGATGATAATTTTAAAATTCCGTAAATAAATTGGAACTTAATAATTTTTATTCTTTATATTACGAAAAATATCACAAGTTGGCGTTTCGTCCCGGTTTCCACTACCCGGTTTCCATATAATATTAGAATAAATTATCAGATTTAGATTTCAAATTGTAATTTGACTCTTATTCGCCCTATTTAACGTGTTAATTATTATTATATAAAAGAGTCCTTCAAATCTTCAATTCATTTGTTTTCAAACATATTTGATATTAAACTTCTTTAGAATAAGTTATAACGTGTAGAAATTCGAGCGCCTCTAGGCAAGGGGGAGGTAAAGTGGAGGTCGCTTCGCGTGGAAGGTCATACGCCTCTAGACAGGAGGGGAGGTGGGGTGGAAGTCGTGCGGCCCTAAGCAGGGGGAGGTGGGGTGAAAGTTGCTTTGCGTGAGAGTCGTGTGCCCCTGGGCGAAGAGGGGAGGAGATGGGGTGGAAGTTGCTTTGCGTGGAAAGTCATATGTCTCTAAGCAGGGGAGGAGGTGGGATGGAAGTCGTGTGCCCTTAGCAGGAGGAGGTGGGAGTGGAAGTTGCTTCATGTGGAAGTAGTGCGCCTCTAGGCAGGGAGGAAGGAGGCTGGAAGTTGCTTCACGTGGACGTCATGCGCCCTTTAGCGAGAGGAGATGGGGTGCAAATCGCTTCGAGTGAAAGTCGCGCGTTCCTAAATTCTATAATTTCATTTAAACATTTTTTTTTTCTGGCATTAAACTTCTTTGTTGATAATAATCAATTTGAGGACATTCATTTTATATCATTTAGAGTATTTCTACCAAAATTCATAACAAACAGTCGCTCAATATTTTCAAAAATTCATTCAAAGAAATGAATAAGGATATATGTGAATGCGCGTATAATATCAAATATAATAGATAGATAATTATTTGAAATTTTATATTATTTGTTATTATTGCTTAAATATTCATTGTTTATAACGCGAAACAATTATTTATTTTATTATTAATAAATTATTATATTGCTTTATTTTTCCAACAATGTTATATAATATTAATTGTTTTATATTCATACTTGTAATGAAAATAATAATTGTATTATAACAATACAGCTTTGTGTAACTATACATTTTAAAATAACAACAGAACGTAATAAAGCACATTTTTATTTATGAGCATTCACACAGAATATTCTAACGATCCTTTCAGACATGAAAGATCCTTTTCAGCTCTTGTTTCATGTTAAAGTTAAATTTGCGTTTGCTAGTTAGTAGTTTACGATACAATTGCATTGAAACATTAATCTGAATATTGGCCTGTTAGAGATCGATCAATCAAAGATCCGCGTTGCTAGAGAGAAAGTAAAAAGCATTGTCCAGTATCTGTATCATGTAAGTATATCGAACGGGCGATTGTTGATGAATCCAAGTCCCAACAAAGGGATTTCTAAACTATGTCGCAATGGCAATTGCGACAATAGCAGTATAGAGAAATTCAGTTAGACTAGCATAACTGTCACAAATTGGACTGCAATTTGCACAGAATTTCACTGCAGATAGTATGTAGGTGCATATAAAATACGCCATTTTACAAAAACTCGATAACAAAAGTAACTTATGTTATAAGTTTCTGCAGTGGCACAGAATGATCGAGAAAGAGAAATCACTTATTAAGAAAGTATTTCTATTTTTTATTAATAATTGTAACCGACAAAAACACTTCAATAAATATAAATTCAAAATCACATTAATTATAAAAATTAAATATTCTAATTTTTGTTAAATTTCCGTTAAGAATTTAATTATTTGTTAACATTGAGAACGACCCGATCGGTGTCGAAACGTTTGTTATGTCATTTGTTTATTTTTCATTAATTTAAATATATCTTCTTTGTGTTCTTCTCAACTGTAATATTTTTATTTCGGCTCGTTTTGCTTGTAAAATTATATTAATTTTTATATAAATCTAAAAGTTATTATAATATAAAAAATTAATAATTTAATAATATAATTGAATTATAGACTCTTATATGTTTCAAAAACAATACAAAAAATTTAAGCAAATACAAAGGCTATTAAGAGTCAACGCTGTTAGCAGTGCGCAAAAACACAATCTTAAAATCTATAACATAGATACCATGTCGAACGTTTCGATCCTTCGTTTCGGATTATTATAATATAAAATAAATTATTATTAGATACAAAGAATTGGATACACATTATTGATAACTTTGATTATGTGAAAAAAATTTTATTATATTATAAAATCAATAATTGCTATATTAAGATAATTCGTGTAATATGATTATATCGTATGACAAATGGTTAAATAAAAAATAATTTTTGTTAACGCTGCATTCGCGTTTTCGTCTCACAACAGTATTTATAAATACTGTATGAATACAATATTCAACGTTTTAAAAAATCGGAACCGTTTCCATTTCAATAATCCATTCGTTAAATTTTTATGCGATTAAAATCGTTATACTTAAAGTCACGCAAATTTTAATAATTATTAAGTTTTATAAATAAACTTTTTAAAATAATATTTAGTTATATTATTATTTCTTTGTTTTAAGCTAAACTTAAAAATGAATACCTAATATACCGGGAAAAAGTTTTATATATATGGACTTTTTTTTATATATAATTGCATCAAATTTTATATAATTTTATATAATTATATATGAAACACATTTCCTAATAGACATATACAAACGTAAACAGAACAGACGACATTTTTAATAGCTTTTATAATATTTTAGATAATTGAAATTGTCAGTTACTCTAAATAAGAAACAAATTTGTTAAGCTTTAAACATTTTATAGTCAAATTTGATTTCTCTTTAGAAAAATCTCTTGTTATACTTTGTTTTTACTGCACTTCATTTCTGCACATATTTTGATAATTCTTGCAATTAGAGAAGAAAATCATTTTTTGTCCGCAAATATAATCAGTTCCGTTGTGATATAATTTATAATAATCGTTTCACAATAACAATTATTAGATATTGTATATAGAAAAATTCAAGCACTTGTAATTATGTCAATTATGAAAGATACAAGTAATATCTCATTCAAAACAATGTTTTTTTTTTTATTTAGAGAGAGTTATGACACTTTGTGAAATCATCCTAAACATGATATATGTATAAAGTTTATCGAAGAAGATGATTTGAAGATAATTTTTTGTTTATCAAGATAAAAATAATAAATACTGAATAGTGGGGATGGAATAAAAGACAAGCAAGTGTACGAAGCATATCTACAAGAGCGAGAAGGTTTCGTTTTTTTTCTCTTCGTTGTATAGTTTTTGTTAGCGAGCTGGCTTCGAGACGATGAAGCGGATGGTGGAAGAAAAAAAATGAAAGAAAAAGAAAGATAGAAATGTTGCACAGAAATCCGTTCATGAAAAAATATTAATCTTTGCACACAGATGAAAAGTATCGCTTGTCGTGGTACTTTTATTCTTATGCCGTTACGCAGACAGTTTTAAATATCGAGCAGTCGCTATCGAAAATTGGCGAGCTTTCTGACGGCGATATTTTTCTCTGCACGGGTTAACAGAAGAAACAGTAATATATCGCTACGACTCCTATCGATTTTTACGTTTACATATAGCGAATATTATAGTATAATGCAGACTCGGGACTATACAATTACAGTATATTTCCATGGAATACACACTTATTTAATAATAAAAAATTTATACTTAATGATACAAAATCGGTTAGAATTATTATTACATATAAATATATAAAGGATTGTGTGTTTTGAATTTTATTTTAATAACATATAAACACTTGTGTTTATTTTTAGGATGACAATTTATTAGGACAAATATTCAACAGGAATAATGTTCTTAAAATGTAAAAAGTCGGTTTTCAATTGCATTATGAATGTTAAGATACGTATTTATCTAGATATTGCACAATTGGATATTGTATAACACATGAGAAAATCGGATTAAGTGAGTTCAGACTTTTTCAGTTACAAAAAACAAAAGCTATTACGAGTACTTTCTCGAATGATATATCTACCTAGATATTTATTTATTTTACTTGGTTCAGTGTCATATATTACTTTTATACAAATTATCATAAATTATTTCTAGTCATATTTGATAAAGAAGCAATGCAATAATACAATTTTTTTATTTTGGTAATATAATTATATTATCGGGTAGTAAATTTTATAATATTTTTTTATCTAAATAAATCCCGTGGAGGTAGATTCAAAATATGTGTCGTTAATTCTTTAATGGTCGTTAAAAGGATTTTTAATGGTCGCTGCTTAATTCCACACAATCGAACTCTCAGTGGGACGGAAATGAACTGCTGGTATGAATTTGTATAAACTTTTAATCCTTTCCATTAATTGGCACTCGATGCAATATCGATGGTAAATTAACAGCTGCAGCGGCGCGGCTGTATCGTACATCGGAAGTTTCGGTTTCGAAACATGATAATTAAGCTTAAACGTGGCACTTGAAATCGGAAGTACGGGACGTACGGGATATTCGTCACTGACGCTTAAATTAAATGGCATGCTCGAGATACTGTATTCATAGACTTTATCAATGAGCGGGTACGCACGCGGCAGGTCGAAATAATTGATTGCTATAGCCCGTTGCTATATTAAACCTTTATGAATATGCATCAAGTATTGACGAAATCGCGTATGTTTGAGTTCCAACAGTCGTCTATTTGCACTCGAACGGTTACTTTCTCGTCCTCAGAGAGAGAGAGAGAGAGATGCATATCATACGACTTGTAATATCATAAATGTGTAAAACGAAATATCGTGTTTCAGTTTAATTCATAACTGCTACGATAGGATGGAAAATTTAATCAAGGATGTCCAGTTACCAGAAATTAAGCATCGGAGATCTCGCTGGTTAGTTAGTATATATTTATGGCAAACTTATAGAATTTATTAATAAGAAAAATACGATATGTTATAATTTGTATATAATTAATTGAAAGTGAATATAACAATCGTGCCTTATTCATAAGACATGCCAGTATTCGTAAAGATCCAAGATAAATAGCTGCTGACACGAGTATAGACATCTGGATGTATCCCGGTTTCGCAACCTAATCCGTAGGATAGTATGCCAATCAGCATCTGCTCCGACACTAGAGGCGCACCTACATCAGCCTGTAGACAGTAATATCATGATGGTTATAATCGCGCGCTGAATGCTCTATTCGTGTTAGGAATCGAAACGCTATACGACGGATTATAGTATCAGCGTAGAACACAAAATCTTGATGTCTTTTTAAAATATAATCCTTTCTCTCTTTCTCTTTTTCAAAACAATACTTCACATATGTGCGCGTGTGTGTATTAGACTTTTGTTTTATAATTTTTAACAATTATTATACAACAAAAAGCCTCAAGAATTGCATATAAATCTTTACAAAATCATTACCGAATCTGAACCTTCGCTATATAAATTTACTTTAAATATAACATGGTACGTTTTACAAAAACATTGCGTTCGTATACGAGATACTCTCGTGCTCCGCGGTCTTCGAATATGATCGCATACAGTCACGTCGCGAAATAACGGGAATTTTTCTAGCGCCCGGCGCGAGTCTCTTCGCATTTCGCTTGCGGTGCTTCGGCGTCTCGTGGAAATTGCGTTCTCGAGTCAAGTGCTGCATTGTTCACCGATCTGGTGCATCCGACACCTGAACCAGCCGCGCGTGTACTTGCGGAAAGACTATTGACTCCATTGATGTAATTGTACACTCGTGGCCATGGCACAATTGGAATTCGACTACCATCGACTGCTCTTAATTTACGCGCCTCGCATTTTCCACATATCGCTGCTCCGCTCGCGAGATCATTACGAGATTGCGCTTAGATTCATATATCGATATTGGTGTTTGAAATTACTTGAAAATCTCAATAATCTCTATCGGTTTCACCTGATAACATTCGTAATAATACTAGATGAACTTGTACTATTAACGTAATTGTTAATCATTTCTCATTATTTATTTTCTATAATATTTTACATTAAATATTTTCTATAATAAAGTATTAGATGAATTAACACGGTGTGTTAGTTTCTTTAAACAATTTTAAATATATTTTGCAAGACATAGATTTTTCGAAAGAACCGTCTTTGACAACTATTGAATACTTCGTTCTTAATATAATACGAATGTAACATCGACGATATTTTTTGCAGGGAATGGAAAGTTACTTTTTAAAAGTAACTAGTTACAGTTACTCGTTACCGAGTAAAAAATGTAACTAGTTACAGTTACAGTTATCGCTTTTTAAAAGTAACTCGTTACAGTTACCGTTACTTAAAAAATAACTTTTCGTTACTTTTCCGTTACTTTTTTTAAATCAATTTAAAAATGTACTTTTGCATTTTTTTTATATGTAATACTGACAAATATATAGTTTTTTTTAAAAAAAAAAAAAAAAAAACAATGGAGAATGACTCAAATAATAAATTAAATAAAAGTAAAATGAGAAGGGTTACGAGCCAATAATGAAACAGTTTATTTCCGATAACAACGACGATGAATGTAATTAAATGTATAAATATATATTAGAACAATATATAGATAAAACAAGATAAAAACAAACGACGTTTCGACACTTATTGTCATCGTCTTTTAAACTGTTTCGCTTTTGGGTTCATAGCCCTTCGCATTTTACTATTATTTAATTTATTTTTAAATTTTCTTTAAACACAATTTTGTAATTCTAAAACCTGTAAAATATGCAGCAAACTGAAATATTTGTTTGTCCTATGTATTACATAGAAGATAGAAGGGTAAAATAATTACTGAATCATGACGGCCGAATGTCTAAGGGGTTTCAAAAGTCTTATTGATAAGCGCTATAAATAGCATGTTTCCAATTGAACCGTGTTCAATCGTGTGCAAAGTAACGACAAAAGTAACTGTAAATTTCGTTACCGTTACCCAAAAAATGTAACTCGTTACCGTTACAGTTACCAAAAAAAGAAAGTAACGCAGTTACCAGTAAAGTTACCAAAAAAGTAACTTGTAACTGTAACTTCGTTACAAGTAACGAGTTACTTCCATTCCCTGCAAAATTTATAGGTGACAACAATTTTTCGGATGTTAGTCAAGAGAAATATTTTTTGCAAGTATGTTTTTGGTCGTCTCATTTTCGGAAATAAATAACTCCTCTTTAAAACTAATACCCAGTTTTCACAATGCACCGAAAGTTTCTCACAATTTGTTAATTAATAAATATGACACCCCCATTCTGGATAGTCGAGGGATTCCAAATTTGAATCCTGACGACATAATATTTTTTGCAATAAATTCTCTCAATAGGTTTTTAAAATTTAATCATATTATTATCAAATCAATGACCAATTTAATTGTAATATTATTTTACCTTCAGTTTATGATTGCGTTTTAAGTTCGATAAGTGTCTTATAAAGTGTTCATGAAAGATAAGTAATTAAAATTTATATACAAAAATATTAAACACTAATTGTAAGATCTAACCTCGACCATATTCGTTTTTTCCTCATTTATTTAATTGATAAATATGATTAAGGATCATATTTATTAATTGATAAATATATTAAGAATTGTTTATATGTATAAAGAAACTTACATCTTGCTCATTAAGCCAGAAATAATCACTGAAATATTTTTATATGTTAATGGCAAAAATTTGTTATAAGATGTTTTAATCAAATATTGTTTAATATATTTTTTCTTCAATATTATTTTAAATATCTAATTTCGTCGAAAACCCACAATAAAAAAATGTCATATTAATTAAAACCTTAATTTTTCTAGAAATACTACTGTAAGCTGCTTAACGTATTCCTTTCATTTAGTATTTGTTTGGTTTCTCTACTCGCTTTTATCAGAAAATTGTTATTAATTTTATAATATTCTCAAGCACTAATAAATCGGGAAACATTTAATATACAATATGTTGTAATAATAGTGATTTTAATTAAGATATAAAAACTAAAGATGTGCGAATCAAGCATTTGTGAGGTCGAATCGAATCAAATTGAATCGAATGAAACTTTTTTATTTGAAAACGAATCGAATATTGAAAAATATTTGAATTAAATTTTTATAAATTTTTATTAAAATAAAGGAAAAGTAAATTTAATATAAAACCGATGATATGAAATTTGAAACTATCTATTTTTTATTCGGTTTCGAATTTCTCAAATTCAAAAACGCGATTTAAATTGCATTCAATACAATTTAATTCAAATTAACTTTTCTTTAAAAAAAAATTCTCCAGGTGATCGTATAGATAAAAAAAGATCATAATTTTTGGATGAAATGATCTAAAACCTTATAATATTGTTATTATTATCTATATTTTCGATTAAAAGAACATTTCGCAATAATTTTGGCATTTCACGCAGTACTTTTTGTTAGATTTACTGCGTTTGACACTCGAGAGCGCGCAAGTGGCTCGATAGCACGTAGATGATGCATACACCCTGTGCACGCGTGCCAAGTGTCGTGACATGCGACGACGAGGTCGAGGCGGCTCTTGTCGGTGTCGTCGACGCTCTCTCGAGTGTCGTCCGCAGTTTGTCGCGGGTTTCATACACGCGAGCCCTTCATGGATCACCGCGTCGGTTTCTCCAACCGAGTTGTGTCGCGTCTCTTTCGTCTTATATGTTTATCTTACCTGACACCTTTCCGACCGGCGAGTCGCGTTAGTGGCGCACAACATATCCTTAGATAGCGGCTTGTAGCTCGGCATCATCGCCTCGCACGTACGTTGATTTACGATCGTCACAGCGGCCGCCTCAAGCTGAGCTCCACTTGGGCTAGTCCCCTGGAAATTTGGCACGGCTCGCACGTTTTTACGACACGTTTCTCGTTATTGTGACCTCGTCGAGCAGCAAAACGTTACGAACGCGCGCGAATGTTTTGCGACAGTGTTTCGTAACGATTTACTTTTTGGTATACCGACGTGACTTTGAATAACGTCGCGTGCGGGTGCCAACCGGTTGGCGGAAAGTTACGGAAAGTTTACATATCCAAGTTCCTGTAAAAATGCCTACGTTCGTTGCAAAAATCTCGTTCCGGGCAGTTGCTAACTCCAGGAGGAGCGTTTTTCACCGCGGAAGAATGAGTTACGCGTTCCTCCAAGTGTCGTGGCACCTGGACACTTCGTCAAACGATAAGAAACGGTATTCTCGAGAAAACGATTGTGAAAATTCCAAAATAGACTAAAGCTACGCGTCTCACACGAGTATATTTACCCGACTTCGTTTCCAGCCAGTCACGACACAATGGGCTCCATCTTGGAGTTCTTCATTTTCTGGCAGTCCGATAGGAAGCAACTTTTCTCCAAACTCTGCAGGACTCTTTAGCTACAAGTTTGATAAATGTGACAACTTTGCATAGGCGCGCACGCGATAAACCAATAAAACACAGACGCGTGAGATGTTTGAATGGAGATACGTACCTTCATCAATGCTATATCGTTGTAGTATACATATTTATCAAAATATTCGTGCACCACAATATTATCTATTTCTAATACATCGCCATCCGTGGAGGTAGAAGAGGAACGCACGTGTACAGATACTGTCGATGATTTTGCACTAGGATATATTAATATTATTATAATAAAAGCGACATATTAATTATATATACACAAACACACAAAAAGAACAGTTTTGCTAAAGTTACTTAAAAATTTAGCTAGATACAGATTTGCAAATAATTTTAACTTGAAAATAACGTTCAAGGGTGAATATAACATTTTTTTGCAGCATTGCATTGCTCATTACGCTTTAGTTTCCTGCATAATTATTTTCAAGGACAAAATTATTTTCAGATTTTCTTCTGTATCTAATCAATTTATATAAAACGTATCTACTACGTATAAAATTATATATATATATCTAAAAGTTAAATATAAAACGTATTGTCAGTTCAAATTGCATTAAAACAAAAAATCAAAAATATTAATATTTTTAAATCTTAAGATGAAGTCAGCTTTAAATTCATGAAGGATTCTTTTAAAGTTAAAGTCATAGTTTCCAAGAGGAACGTCTTGTACATTGTTACTTTTGCAGCAGCACGTACCTAAAAACACAGGATGCCGCAGTCATAATCCACGATTCATGTATGAATGCGCCGCTGCAAACGTGTCGTCCGGCTATCTGGATCGATACCTGTATTGGAATAACGAATTCTATCTGAAATCCGATTTATTTGAAAATAATAGCGGCTTACAGTCACCGTGCTGTACTGACTACCGATTAAAGCCACATGTGAATGGCATATAGTTTTATTTGTCGTCGGAATGCACGGTAGGTACTGCAAGCTATCGCAAATGGAAAAAAAAGAAATGAATTTCTCTCACATGATACGGATACCACATGATGTCCACATATTCATGTTTTTCGGTATTAACAGCTGTAATCACAGTTTATGTAAAACAATTGAGTGTAAAAATTGCGGAAATATGTATAAAAAAATTTGACTCACTGTATACTTCAACTACTAAAAGTATGTAGAATAATAAGATGACTTTTTTCGACATTTTTTCAAACTAATTAGCCACGAGTGATGATTCTTGAATGAAAAGATTGTGTCACAGAATGATTTGCGAAACTTATTTTCTATCGATGATATGATAAAATGATAAATCTTAAGTATCGCATTATCTATATTCAAAATTATAACAAATCGTTATCAGTAAATATAAAAGAACGCGGCGCGATTAATTTGGAATTGTAACATTAGAAGCGTAATTCAATTCTAGGATAATGTTTGTGTGTCAAACTAATTGGTATACACAACTACGTAACATGTGCATGAGTGATACCTTATCGATCGATCAATAATGATATAACCATGTTAGATTATGATAGCTAATTAAACTTCTAGTGTGTAAATAGATAGAGAGAGAGAGAGAGAGAGAGAGAGAGGGAGGGAGAGAGGGAGGGAGGGGGAAGAGCAGAGTAGTAAAGAGGAGAGAGAGAAGGGGGAGAGAAAGAAGAGTGAACTACATAAAATATACTTTATACTTTTCAACGATATCTTTATTTTTACGTCGTTTAATTAAAACATTTGAACTTATTGGGTACTTATAACGTAATGAGGAAAATGAACTAACGTCAATACTAATGTCGTTAGTTTATTTTCCTCATTACACTGTTCCTTTTAATTAGTACTTTTTAATACTTTTTAATATTGATGAAAGCATAATTATAACGATTTAATGTCGCAAATCAAAACTCGCAATCTTGTTTGCATTAATTTTTATGAACAATATTATATAAAATCTCTATAAAATTTTTATTTCTTAAAACCTAGCATCAGTCTCATATAAATGTCTCATCCAGATCCTTTATCGAGTAGTTACACCCGATGTTCCATCACAAATTGAGATGCATAGCAAAGAGCGTGTAATTGTCAAAGCTTAAACACCACTGATCCATCTGATCCACCACAGAAGATCCGCAACATTTGTATAAACACCGGGATAAAGCGGCTCAGCGCATTTGTATCCCCAGGATACAATTCCGTAGAGGATACCATCCACCGTAAGAGGTCCGCCTGAATCGCCTTCACACGCATCCTGGCCGCCGTGCATGTAACCCGCACAGATCATTCGATCGGTGATGCTGCGGATGTATTTATATATACCTTGGCACGTTTTTTTGCTTACGATCGGAAGCGATACTGTCATTAACATTGATGATAATTTTCCACCAACCTAAAATAGCAATTTATATTTTACAATTTTCTAAATTGAATTGATTAAAATTAATACGTCAACTATAATTTTGACTACTCTAACGCGTCTTAATAGAGCGTGTTAGAATTATCGACATGGCCATATAATTGTAGTATATAATGCATAATGATTACCCACTCCAATCTTCCTCGCAAATACGGATACCGACACCTATAGAGACTATATACAGAGCGGAGTCGATATTGGTTATCAGATATCAGCATCGAGGAATTAGAGGAGGATATGCTATGAAAGTTGTAGTTTTGCGCCAGATCGGAAAGGAAAGTCCATGGATGAAGTAATTTAACAATGGCGCCGTAATCTATACCTTTAATACAGCCGCAACGTAATTTAGTATCATTACAAATAGGACGCAGGGGATATTGATTTCTTTTTGGTCGTATATTGAATACTGCGTGGTACGATTTCCGATACGGAATAGCGCTCCTGCGAAATCTTCGAGTCGTGCTTGCTCTACTGGGCGAAATTCGCTATTATTTAGCCCCATTTGTTTTCCGCAACGTTCAAATAATGAGTCTATTCCTCGTGCACTTACCTGCATCGCGCCCCATCCGGAAACGTTCACCATAACACCATTCGCGAGCTCCGTTTTCGGAAGCTTCACTGGCTGCACTCTATCGTTAAATACGATTTCGCCGTCGATCTGAAATGAAATTTCCAGAGTGTGTGAGAACTACAGATGTTGTTATTGTCAGCTGGCGCAAAGTCGTTAACGAGCAAAAACAGAGATCAGGGCGAGAAAGCAAAAGGGAAGAAGAATGAGATAGAGTGGCCGATATTACCTCAAGAAGGGCGATATCGTAATCGATCGTCAGGAAATTGTAGGCGGGATGTTGAACGATCTTTTTAACTAAATAAAATGTGCCCCCCTCATATTTGTCGTTACTCCCTGCGTGAAGTCTGTAAACGCTCGCCGACAGACTGGAACAGAAAATGTATATGCTGATATTGAAAATATCATGATAATAAGTGCACGCTATACGTACAGCTGCGCTATGATAAAATTGACAGACCATTTGAGAAGATGCTTTACCAGATATAGGTGATCGCACAAACGTGTCTACAATTTTTCACAATCTCTTCTCTGCTATCTATATACCTTAAATCTTTAACATTTTATTTATTTTTGATACGTTAAATCTTTGAGAGAGAGACAGAGACTTTATTATTTATTTCTTTTAACTTAAACTCAATGCTGATCACTTGTGAACAAGTCAGGCATTCGACGAAATTATCCTATATGACCGATTTCTTCAATTTATGACTCTTTTATGATAATTAATTGATTATGTACTTCATTTTATCTTTTGTATAACGGTTTCCATCATTATTGTATATATCATTATGTTTTATAAGTTGTATGAATCTTATTGTTAGCAATAAATTTTATGCAATGAAGACGGCTTAAAACGAGAGTCGAAACGTTTACGTATATTTTTATATGAGAATATATGATCCAACTTTTTGTGTTTTTTGTTGTAGGTACTTTATATTATACGTTGGTTATTTATAGGAACTTTATATTCTTTGCATTTATATCGATACAGGTACGCTTTATTCTTTTGATTTATATTTTTTAGAATCTAAATTTATCCTTATTATACAAAATTTTCAACTAGTGTAATTTTAACACTATGGATGTTCAGGACGTGAACTAATACTTTAAATAATTATTCTGCTACAGATAAGAGTTATATTCAGTTTATGCGTAAAATGGATTTCCCAGAAAATATTTCTCTGTTTCTATGTTTTCTAATCGCACTGGCTCATTATCAGAGCCGTATTTACCTTCTTCCTAATTAGACATTCGCGAATTGGACACTCAAAAACAGACACGCTTGAAAAGTTGCATTATTATGAAAATTTATGATAAAGTTTACAATTTTATCTTTCTCTATCCAAATTTGTATACTGCTGAAATATGCAAGAAGAAAGTAAATACATCTCGCGATAACGATGCTGCGATTATATTTGGCACTTAATGAGGAGTATTAAATTAGTTGGAAGACGTTTCAAAGATAAGAATAAATGTAATTAGTTTAAACGTCTTATGAAGATTCAGGTGTTGCCTTGTAATGAGATAATGTGATACCTAAGAGGGAAAGAAATATGTACATATATACCAGACGCAATGAGCCGCCGTGACAACCCATTTATAGTTGACGATGACGGCTCCACAAACGTGCCGTGAACCTCGCTGGAGGCTCAATTGATAAGGATGCTGCTTTATGTCAGTTACCGTACCTCTTGTGATCCGAGGGTCAAGAGGGATAGCTGGTCGCACTAGAAAGGATGCTGTAATATTAAATCTGATGGTAGAATTTGTCTTGGGTCACGCCTCAGCAAAAAAGTTGGCCCTACAATACGCTGAATACATAAATCACGCGAAGATTTGGTTGACTTTATTACACGCGACTGTATAACCTCTTAAACTTTTCTCTCTGGAACGCGTTGGATAATAAAGAATACGGTTAAAGAAGTTCCGCTATAACTTGTACTGATTTGACTTTATCATGCTCTATTATTCATCCTAGAGTTCTAAATGTCAGATAAGTTATGTTGTTTACGTCGTATATGAAATTTAAAACTCTTTCTAATATAAATATAAATATAAAATTCAATAAACATATACATATACAAGTGAAACCACTTGGAATGGTTCGCTGTGCGCGAGAAGGATGTCGAAGAACGAGATAGAGAGAAGCTGAAATAATTAAACAGAGAAATTAACAATAATAATAATAATAATTTCTAATATTCTATCACTAAAGAAAATTTCTGGTTGAAAATAGACGAATCAAAATTTTCTCGTTAAATTTATTATAGTTATCTCAACTAGAATTCTAGTAGATTTAACTAGAAAATTCTGATTCGTGTTCACTTTCCACCAGAATGATTATTTAATCTCCAACCTGATTATTTTTCTCAGTGTAAGTTTGAAATATGCATATATCAAGGTTGTTCCTCCTCTTTCTTATTTAATTAATATAGTCAAATTTCTTCTAAATGATTGATGATACAAAAAAAAGTTTTAGATGAAAATGGAACTGTTTCGAAGGGGATGTATTTTGGTCACGTTTTTTTTTTAGTAATGTAAGTAAAAGCGTTAAAAAGATAAAGGTCACATATTTCACGATAATAACTTAAAAATTACATTTTTTAAGTCACTTTTTATGTCACTTTTACAGTAAAGAACAGAGATACGATTTGTAAAATTATTTTAAAATATATTAAGATAAGATTAAAGAGAATTATTTTTTGTTTCACTTACCCATGCCTCCGACAAATGAGAAGTAGGAAATAAAACTTCGTAACATCTTACTAGCATACAGGTATGCGCACTAGTAAGTTACGTATACTCATTGACTTTTATATTGCAGTCATGTTTCTCACATCTGGCGAAAACTTCTTATCACATGTCGACGCATTTTATTCGAGCGTTACGTAGAATAACATAATTGTTAAAGAAGGTCACGCAGAGAGACACAGATAACGAAATATTTTTTTTTCATAAAATGCCTATATTATTGCAATACAAGAAAAATCCGTATTCGCTATAATAATAATATAGGCGATAAGATATCTTTGTGTGTACACATATACATATAATACGTATAGAGATAAACAAAACAATAAGACTGTATTATTTCTTGTGATTGATAGAATTGGTTGAATAGAAAAGTCTTTTACAGTTTGTGCAGATGCTTATTTGCAGACTAATTAATTTCTCGTAATTATGGTAATAAAATTTTTGAGAACTCTTTTCGTCCGATTTATTTTCTCAACAGCTAATATAATTATTACCAGATTCCCTGTGTATGTGTGTGTATATAAATTTGAATCTGTACGATTTATCGAGAAAAAACAGTCAATGTTACACATTATTTGCAGTTCCTATATAGAAGCGCTTTTTCCAGTATACTTTGCCGAGTGCATATATTATATTTGTTGTTGAATTTCGCTACGCGGATTTTACTTTAATTTTTATTTATTAATAGATATTTATTAATAAATTTCTTATTAATTAGTGAGAGAAGAAATTGTAAAACGGTAAAGAACTCTTTTCTATTTAATTTAACTTTACCAGTCTATGAAAGATAATACGGTTTTTATTACGCATTCTTTATATACCATATGTACACGCTTTTGTATCTTTTATTTTATTTTTTATTTCCTTTATACTATTTTATTTTATTTTGTACGTGATAAATAAATATAATTTTTAGAAATCCGAGTAACATAATCAAGACAATATTAAAATAAGTATGCGCGTAGATTAAGTATAGAAATGTTTGCACAAGTGCTTAATCGAGGTGATAAAGATAAATTTATCTTGCAAAAATCGTGCAATACACGAATAAAGTTTTATTACTTCTTGTTAAAACAAAATGTAGGCCATAATACAAGTAGATAAAAAGTACTTACTTTGATAACACATTTGTTTTGTCCATCAGTTTTTAGTAAAATGTCCCAACATATATACATATATTTTTAGAATAATATTATAAATTATGTACTGTATATAACAAATTTTAATTCATTATTAAATTTAACGTTTTATAATTATATATATATATATATTTTTTATGCTAAATTTTATCGTTAATGTTTATGCAAACATTTTGCAACGATCAAAAACCAACTAAGAAATTTCCATTCAAAAAGATTGATTTAGTTTGATATTTCTCGTTACTGAAATTTTAACATATTATTGATTGACGGCTAATTAATTGAAAATTCACGATTTCAATTAAAGCTTACCCTTCTGTATGTATCTTCCATATCATATCTATTTCAATTAAGCATTTGGAATTTGAATATGGACTGTAGCGGTTTTCAATATATCGGTTATGAAATTCTAATAATTCCATAGGTTCATTGAGCCAGAAATATATCATTTTCATACTTATCTATTTTTAGTTCTCGGCAGAAATTTTGACCTATCGTTCGTTAATTAATCGCCTATTTATAAAACGATTGTGTAATAACATAGTACAAATTTTAATATTCAAATGTGATATAAATATTATCAACTTTGTTTCTCGAAGCAAATATATACGAAAAGTCGAAAACTAATAAAATTTAGCCTTTATAGATTTTTAATTATCAAAAATTTCCATGGAATTTTATTCGAAAAAGATTTGAGAATTAATTTTTTTTAAAGTTACACATTTTGTAAAATAAAAAAGAATATGTATTCTTAATATACATATGTTTCATTAATATTCTTTCTCTTTCTCTATCTCTCCATCTCACTTGGTTATATTTTCTCTTTTTAAAATAAATTATTATATATGATGATGTTAGCTTTGAGTGTTAATCCTCCCGATAGCCTCTCCGCAAATTGATTGATGATTAAAACTCAAATTTCCTATCCAATTTTTCAATATTACCTCTGAGTGTAATCGATGTCTACTTATACGCGATATTTTGAGAACTGTTATAATATGAGGGATGAAGAGTGATGCAGCGAGCCGCGCTTGTCGACATCGTCAGCGACTGCTGTCTGACGATTAACATATAAATCAAACTTCTGACGGCAGGCTAGCTCCTTCTCATGCTCAAATTTACTCCCAGATTCTCCTGTTATCTACTCTGGATGCGTATGCGCCGCCAGCCATCTTGTATACTGTTCTCTCTCCCCTTCTCTTTTCCGAAGACGCACTGAAATGCGCACTGAGTGCAAATGTTGAAAACTGAGAATTATTGAGGATGTATTTTCTCTGTTCAGCCGAATAACCAACGTCGACGCCGATGGTAGCTCAAGATGATATCCACATTAGTGCTAGTGTCGGATTATTTTTTCAAAACGATCATCTTATGAACTAGGCATATACAAATTTTCAGTACGTAAATATAGAAAGAAACTTTCATGTCAAACACAAAATTACATTTCAGTAATTTCAAATTTCAAATGTATACGTTGAATATTTGCGCAGAGATATAATTTGTAGACAAATACTTGTCTTTGGCCACACGCGCGCGTGTAATTAAATTTTACCCCTCTAGAGCTGATGCTAAGTCTATTGAATTTATTCAATCAATTCTTTATATCTGCAAATTATTAGGTGCGTTCAACAAACACAGCGGTTGAATGAGCGTTCATTGCAATTAATATATTTTTCTAGATTTATCACGGATCTGAAGGTCTACTCCAATCACAGGCAATAATTACTGAGCGCTTATTCAACCATTATGTTTGTATCCATTTTTATTAAAATAAATTTAATATTCATTGTTTTTTATAGAGTTATGTATATTATTTTGGTTCCTTGAAATTAATTAGTGCTTTTTAATCAACGTGAATTAAGTAGATCTCGCAGACCTATCATCAATATCAGTTACAGAATTTGACATTAACATCGAAGGGTTAAGAGAAATCAAAAGTAATACAAGATGTATAACATTTCTATTTACATAATACACAGCTTTTTTTTAGATTAATATCAAATCTTATTGGACCGTGAGAATTTAAACCAAATGAATACCGATAAAATCTAGCTTGACCGTTACAGCATATTCTCATCAGTATTCATTATTTTTTAGATTAATTGACCATTGTGGTGATTATAATAATTTGATGATTTTATGTTTTTATGTGTGATATGTATATGCCACTGCCGGGCGTGTTTTCGAAGACTAGTTCCACTTGGCAAGAAGCCTACGGGCGTAATTTGGAAGGAAGAAACTTAACATTCTCTTGTCTCTCCAGTATATCTCGTTCCGAAGCCGTGATGAGTAGCCGAGGTGGGACGAGTCCTGGGTGCCGTAAGTCTGTCACGCAGGACTAACGAGACCCATCCTGGGAGGATTCCCTGTCTGGACACCCGTACCGTAGTGTACTTTCTCCTTTGCCTGTTCTCCTATTCTTTCCGCTTTCTTTTACGTACCAAGCGTCGCGCACACATCCAAGACGATTACTGCACACCCGGGACGCGCGTTGCAATGGCATATGCAATTTCCACACTCTTGCCGCTCGTAATTTATCAGCGGCGAGAGTCGACCGTGGAAACACTGGAAACGCGCTAGAAGGTGGAAGATCGAGAAACGAGGATGTATCCCACCGAGGACATGCGTCTTGCTGTTTCTTCACGTCAAAGTAACAAAGAGAGAGGGAGAATTGGCTTTTCCGTGAGATGCAGCCATTGCGTTTCGACGGTAATCGTGAGTGCAGTCCGATGGAGAAAATATTGCGAGATATTTGAAAGAAGGCGTGATTGGCAAAATGTGATAAACGCTTCAGAAACAAGTCTTCGATTGTTCAAATATAAAATTGAGATACAATATAAGGTTCCACAGATAAACCCACAATACAAAATGATAGAATAAAAAATGTGGTCCCGACACTTGTTGTTCGTGTGTGGTATAAATACATGTATTAAAAAATATAGATACAGACATTTGAACTCTAATATACGCGTCCTCTTCAGTGTATAAAACAGTGATGAACAATCTTTGATCGTTGCTCAATGTGAACAATCTCGCAACTTCGACTTATACTCGAGGTTGTTGCAATTTTTATCCGTAAAGCGGGATACATTGCGGCAACGCAACGGTGCCTTGTTTCGCTACGCACCGACGGTATATCCATCGCGTGCGATGCTGGCGCGTACCAATTAACAATTAGCGATTTTGATAACGAGCTGTAGCATAATTCGAATTAGCTCTAATCGAGTAATTCCGCGCTCCGCCGGAATGCACTTTCCATGCCTATGTACCCTCGTATTCGCCCCGTTGCCTAGTTGCTTTAAAGCCGCACCTGTACGTACGTCAGCCACATAATTGGCTTTCGCGATCGTGCCGAAGTACTTGAAGGCGCGAGGATTGCGCGAGAGCTTTGTGTGGCAATTTGGATTTTCCGTCGTTCCTCGCCCGTCGCTTTCGTCTTTGCCATTCCCATCGCTTCCACGGAGCTTGTGCGTCTTACCCTACGAGTAGATAGAAAAGCATTCGAAAGAGCGGAAAGTCGGCAAACTAAAACGTTTTTCTTGATAGGATACGCCGAGTTTATGGTCCCTCTTTAGCTCACATCAATAAAACGAGCACTTAATGGAAGTCAACAATTCTTATACAATTTGACATCATTTGGTAACATTTAATAAACCATTTAATAAACCTTACCATATTGTAGACTGTGAAATGAGATAAATTTTATATCTCACCTCGAATTTGAAATCGTATATATTTTTCAAGATGTAAAAAATTGAATACAATCAATAAAAAAAATATAGATTTTATATTTATAACTTTATAATTATAACATTATCTAATATAAATAAAAGTAAATCGATATTATTCAAATGACACTCCACTTTACGTTTGAATTTATTATTCGCAGCGGCATTTTATTACCTTTACAGGAGAAATTTTTTAACCGACAAAATAAAATAATATGAAACGTGAGCTTCGTAATGTGTCATCGGAGAATTTATTAAAATTCAAGTATTGTTGTAATCTATTAATCGATAAAGCGAATCAAGTGGACGCTCGTTAGCGCGAGCTGCACGGAGTCGTAGTTAGGAGGACTGTCTGGCGAATGGTTAACAAGGAGTAGAAAAAGATGACCTTCCAACATGGCCAGACGACTAGGAAAGAGCGTCGGTTTACTCAAATGAGGGTGAAATAGGTAGGACGTCGCGCGGGACGCGCGGTGCAGAGTATGGAGTTGTAATTACACCTGCATGCATCGTTTCTACGTACATTATAAATGGCTGTGCATTATGAATGAACTGCCGGACGAACCCGCCGGATTATCCTCCTGAAAGAATGGTCCTGCTATCCAACGTAAATCATACCCACTGGCGTCGTTTTGCACCACCGACGATGTTCTCCAACCAGGGGGATAATTTCAGCATCGGTAAGCGCGCAAATGCAGATAATAAGCGGCTCCGACATTTTCCCAAGTATCGAAATTCTTCGCAACGTTTCTTATAACTTGTATTTTGCAAAATAATTAATTTACAGAGAAAGTTTCTGCTTCTCTTTTTTTTTAAAGAACATTATAAACCGTTTATGAGGGCTTAAAATACACTGGAAAGATATAAAAAGTGACAAAGGAAAGAAAAAGAAAAAGATTTTCTGAAAAATTCAAACTTACAACATATGCTACATACATATATACATATACTTCGTATATCTTGCAGCAAAGTATGCAAGACATCATAAGTCGAATATATTTAAGGAAAATTTGTAGATGTAAATTATTTTATGAATTATATCATATATAATTATTTTCTCTCTCTTTCTCGTTCGTAATTATTTTATGGTGTCTACAATATGTCAATAAAGTTAAGTTTTGATACCGACGGCTATTTGAAATTAGCTGTAATTTAATATAAAATCTTGCAGTTATGCTCACAATAGCGTATTTCATAAAGATTAATTAAAGTTAAGTATAAGTAGCAAAGAACTTATATTGTTAGTATAAGATGTCGAGATCATATAATTTCTGAACTATAACGATTAAATCAGAAATAATTTTCATCTTAATGTAAAATTTTCGACTCTACTTGATATTCAGACTGTGATATACAGAAAGGATGGCTTTAAAGTATTTATGAAAGCTAAATGCAGATCCGAAAATAATTTCGTTGGATTATCAAAATAATTATGTAAGACACTCAGACTGGAATGTCAAAACTTTTTGCAGCATTGCTTATCGTGCTTGAGATTTCTATGTAATTATTTTGATGATTCAACAAAATTGTTTTCAAATCTGTAGCTATATCCAAATTTTTAGATATAATGCTTCACGATAATTCCCCCGTGTAGTATGTTTGTAGCAGAATATCGTGAATTATTACATAAACATTAAATAATATAAAATAAAAAGGGGTAAAGAGCCGACAATGTAACAAAACCAAAAAACTTTAATTCAAATAATAATATTATATAAGAAATTAATACAAAAAGAAATAATGACTCGTTATATAAAAATAAACAAATGATGTCAATAATAATATATGAAGCTACAATGTTCAACAGATGGTTCGACTCCGATCGGTCATAAATATTAAATATAGAGAAAATTTTCTTACTCTTTTCTCTTTTAACTATAATTTTGATATAAATTCAATGTTCAATTTGTTATATAAATATTATCGGCACTTTTTTAAATTTAGGTAGCAGAAACACGATAATAGTCTACATATTTCACCAAAATTAATATGAAAATGTAGCAAAACATGTTCAATGCCAGCGAGTTTCATTTGAACCAACGGCGACGGTTGGCACGCGGTCTTGATATTTAATTGTTATTGCAGCGCACGCGGCGTAGGACGGCCTGTTATTTATATTAGAGATTCTCTAATAAGTGTCTGGACATGAGAAAGCCCCACATTTGATTGGCCCTATGTTTTAACAATTCCTGAAAGAGAAAAAGAGATAGACAGAAATAGATAAAAAGATGATAGACTAGAATGGAAAAAAGAAAAAGGTAGTAAATGTATGTTCCTTTTTCTCACGTGATTTTGTTAAAATTGTTTATTGCCATTGGATCTGGAGAGCGATACAATACATGAATTGCTGGATCACATATTTCAAGTAACACAAAAGTCATGATTTCGTGCATTTTAGGAGATTGCGAGTCGTGTACGATTAATATCGAGAGCGCCATGCAAAATACTGTGCATCGTTGTACTCTATTAATTAGTTCGCGTGCGATCGTAATTAATCGTGTTTTACCGGGTGCTGTGTTAACTACATAAAGAAATTAAGAAGTGAAAAATGAAGAGAACGATGGAGAAGAAAAGCAGCACAGGAAACCTCGAATTTCGACGAAGCAATGTTGAGAGATAGGTGATTCAATATTTATGTGCGCTTATTGTTTATTTCTTACAATAGTTATTTATTTTTATTTATTTTAATTATTTATTCAATTAATTGTTAATTATTTTAAATAAGAATTAGAGTAAAAGATATAAGTTATTCTATATTATTTAATTAAATTACACTAATCACATAAGTGTAAAAATATATTTTATCTTATATTTTACAATTGTATATATTTAAAAATGTTTTTTCAAGGGAAAAATGGTACAAAGAAATATCGAATAAAATATGTATTAAAAAAATTAAATTATATATTCATATAACTACACTGTCATTTCAAATAAACAATAAAAATAATCGATATGATGCATAAACGTTATATTCTATTTAAAGTTTTAATTTTGCTACAATTTGGAAAACTTAAGAAAAAGACTTTTATATAACTATATAATTATTACATATGTATATCTATGTATGTAGAGAAAACAAATTATTACGCATAATAATAATCTTATTTAACAATAATAATAATCTTAATTAACACTAATCAATTATTCACACTAACAATATTTGAATCGCACTGCACGTACAGTAGAATCTCTTTATATAGTCCACCTCTTTATAGTCACGATCTCCCAATAGTTCACAGTCGACCTCCGTATAAGCACACGTTTGTAACCCACGTGACGCGTTTCCATGACAACTGCTTGCGCACTCAGGGTCGTATTTTTAGCGCTCAATTGTAACCTTTAGGGATAGTCTACCACTTATATATTAATTATTTTGCATAATTGTTAGTTGCTTAATTATTTTTAAATGTAAACATAAATCAAAAGAGGAAGTGTTTAATAATAAGCAACAAACAACAGATAATTGAGAAGATTGCTTCCAAAAATTAAAGATGTGGCAAGAAAATATGGTATCTCGTCAAGTTGTATGTCAAAAAGCTTTCTTACTAGAAATCTTGTGTTAGTCACATTTCAGCAAAATACTGGTCCTACTGTATTGAGAAGAAAATTAATCTAGTTTCCCATTTTTGTTATAATATATTATTTAAAAAAAATTTATTTGGTATAATAAACAGTGATCATATATTCATTTATTGCTAGATTAATTTACAGTAATTATTAAAACCAAGTTTGCAATAAAAACGTGTTAACAAACGCGATTTTAATATTTTATTTTTTTATAATAAAAGAGTAAAACGATATTTGATTTTAATATCGTGATGAAAATATACGTTATCAGAATATGCGCTTGTCAATGCAATTTGTTTTAAACCTTTATTGACCTATTCTGGATGAAGATATTACAATTTACAGTGATTTTTACTTTAAAAATGAAAATCGATTCTTGGCGTAAAATTAATTTTGTTTTCTTTTTAATCGACAATATCTTGTAACTATAATTATACAAGCTAAACAATCTTGAATTTATTTGAAGTGACAAACTTTTATCTTTTAAATAACACAAAGATCATCTGTCTTCGATATTTTTAATATAGAGATATTGACGATTATATTAATTCATTATTCGATCTAATAACGAAATAGACCAACATGCGTACATTTGCGTTTGATGGTAGAGCGTACCGTGTTTCAAAGCGTTTGTACTATACATGCTTTCATACCTGTTTTTTAGCGCACCTGTCAAATTATATGCAAAAAGTAATAAAACGCGCAGCATTTCTTTCTATAGCGCGCGTGTGCTGGAATTTCAAAACATAATAACTGTACGAAAAATTGACATATCGACATGCAACAAAAATTGATCTTTTACATGTTTTGCATTCTGTAGATGATTAAGTTGAATATATGCGTTTTTCTAATGACATTTATGTATGTAGTGAGAAAAATGTTGGATTATAAAATATAAGAATGTAGGTGGTATGTGTGTGCGTGTGTTATTTTTATATTTTAAAACTATTAAGTAACAAATAACTAATTATATATAAATTCTATTCTATGAAAATATGTATTCTGTTGAAATTTAAATAATTAATTTACAGAGAAATATTAAGAACTTTTTAAATATGTAAGAAATGAAAAAAATATTTATCTTTTTTATAAGAAGTTGTGTTATAATATAAAGAATGTCAATGATGAATAAATTCTCTAGTATTTAGCAAAAATATCAGGAATTTAAGAAAGTAGTAAAA